CGAGAATAGCTTTGCTGCAAATGCTATGGTGCCTCCAGCAAACGAATAGAATAATCCAAGCTGACAGTATTCTTCAGCCGCCCTTCAAGTTGTTGTTCTTGGAGAAAAGTTAACACAATTTGATACTGTGCTTCAATTCAGTGTTACTTAGCTCTTGACTTCCAGGTGAAAAGAGTCAGCCAAATAACAACATTTTCATTTTTTGATAAGGCCATTCAATTAAACATCTGAAATTCAGGAGAATCGGGCGAAAAATGAATAATTTACAACGTGTTTTCCAAAGAGGTCATATCCGAGATAATAAAACCAGCGCCATGTTTTGCCAAAAGTACCATCGGGCCTTGCGCTATCTTGATATAGTACGTCATGTAAGACGACGTCAAGCGACAACCGGAAATACGTCTGAGTTCGTAGGCTACGAAATGTCATGGTTTCCAAAAATTTGCATCTCGCTGAATATTCATGAACATAAACAGGACGGAAAATGTTTTATTAGTTTAAACAGTGAAAATTGGGTGATAAACTTCCAATATTCTGCACAACATATATTGAGTTCTTCTACCGCTGTGACATAGTTTTTCTTTTAGTGATGGAAGGGATCTGATATCAATGGCGGGAAAAGCTAAAGAATTGGAATGTCGCAGATGACCCAGAATCAAAAGTCGTTGTCGCACTGAAAAACATTGCGGCTTTCTTTAGCAACGGAAGAATCCAGCTGTTAAAAAGTCTTTGCTGGAATCCAAAGTATAACGTTCAGTCAGGATCACAGCCTATTAAGTTACTTGGCAGCACGGGAGAATGTCTGGAGACCGTCGCACCCTGTTTTGGCGATCTGTTGTTTGTTGTTTGCTTTTATCGTTTGCGCGAGTCGCTCAGAACTTTCCAAATCATGGCAGTCAGCTTTTTCTAGGATTTAATTATTGGAATAATCGTTACTCCTTGAGCTATCCCGATTGGCCCGGATTTTGGAACAACAACAATAATGGAAGAGTACAGTACAATCGCGATAATTCAGAGTTCAATGTAGAGTCTTGCGGCGGTTGTTCCTGCAGCGACCAAACAGCTACCATAACCTGTACTGGCCCAACTGTGTAAGTAGAGTGCTAAAGTTTGCAATTCATTGCTCTTCTCGTAATCAATATTGAAATCTATATTGCATTTGTTTATCTGTGTCGCGAACAACCTACTTGAAATGTGTCAAGTTGTCCCTCCCGTTATTGCATTCTTATCTCACTAAACAAGCTATAAATAAGTCCCGGTTAGATCTTATGCTACATCCGTAGTTAGTTGTATTGTCGAATAGTAACAACAAGTACAATTATTGCCACATGATTATTAGTGGTTGTTAGCGCTTGATTTTACTCTGTTTTACTCCAAATGAGTATATTTAATTTATAACTGATAAAGCCTGACGCACTTGGGACGATATCGATCGATAAGCTGCTCGCCTCTGCAAAGAGGATTATAGATAAACATCAAGTGTTACTTCTATGTTGAATGATCTGGAATGGCAATCCCTAGCCTCTCGCCTTAAACAAAGCCGCTTATATGCGGTATGTCGACAAATTGTTAACTTAACGGCTACAGAGGTATCCGGTCACTTCGCTCCATGTTAGATCGCTTCAAGTCAGCTCGCTCCAGGCAACGCGTAAGCTTATGTACATTGTTCTTCGTTCTTTCATCCACTGCCAAACTCGGTTGCGTGAGGTAACGAACTCGGCCTGTGTGGAGATCAGCGATCCAGCTTTTGGTTTGAGGGAGCGGAGTTGAAGTGATCTAACCATGGAGTGAAATGTCCGTAATTCGCCACAGAAACTCAAACCTGTGGATCTCATGTGATTTTAACTATTATGTACGATGTATTTAAGTATTCTTATTTTTATAGAACTGTCAGAGAATGGAACAGTCTCCCCTCTGATGTTGTAACCTCAGAAATTATCTAAACAAATTTTTAAGTCCAAATTAAGCAATTACTTACAAGTTTAGTTGGTTAGATGCTACTAGTGATTATTATTATTATTATTATTATTATTATTATTGTTATTGTAGATAATTTTATTGATTGTACTAAATAGTTTTGTGCTGTAAACAGTTGTCATGTAAAGTTTAGTAAAGAATTTTATTTTTATAATTATTATTATTAT